AGGGGACACCTGTTCAAACCCTCAAAAACCCCCACCCAAAACCCCCCCAAACTATGGCGAAGCCCAAAAGGCCCTGTCAAAGGCCCCAGCAAAATTGTGACCTGCACCAGGCTGGGCAGACTGAATCTGCAATAGGTAAGCAGCTTGGTTTGAAGAAATCAACTGTGGGAGCAATTATTAGGAAATGGAAGACATACAAGACCACTGATAATCTCCCTCGATCTGGGGCTCCACGCAAGATCTCACCCCGTGGGGTCAAAATGATCACAAGAACGGTGAGCAAAAATCCCAGAACCACACGGGGGGACCTAGTTGAATGACCTGCAGAGAGCTGGGACCAAAGTAACAAAGCCTACCATCAGTAAACACACTACGCCGCCAGGGACTCAAATCCTGCAGTGCGAGACGTGTCCCCCTGCTTAAGCCAGTACATGTCCAGGCCCGTCTGAAGTTTGCTAGAGTGCATTTGGATGATCCAGAAGAGGATTTGGAGAATGTCATATGAAACCAAAATATAACTTTTTGGTAAAAACTCAACTCGTCGTGTTTGGAGGACAAAGAATGCTGAGTTGCATCCAAAGAACACCATACCTACTGTGAAGCATGGGGGTGGAAACATCATGCTTTGGGGCTGTTTTTTCTACAAAGGGACCAGGACGACTGATCCGTGTAAAGGAAAGAATGAATGGGGCCATGTATCGTGAGATTTTGAGTGAAAACCTCCTTCCGTCAGCAAGGGCATTGAAGATGAAACGTGGCTGGGTCTTTCCAGCATGACAATGATCCCAAACACAACCGCCCGGGCAACGAAGGAGTGGCTTCGTACGAAGCATTTCAAGGTCCTGGAGTGGCCTAGCCAGTCTCCAGATCTCAACCCCATAGAAAATCTTTGGAGGGAGTTGAAAGTCTGTGTTGCCCAGCGACAGCCCCAAAACATCACTGCTCTAGAGGAGATCTGCATGGAGGAATGGGCCAAAATACCAGCAAGTGTGTGACAACCTTGTGAAGACTTACAGAAAACGTTTGACCTGTGTCATTGCCAACAAAGGGTATATAACAAAGTATTGAGAAACTTTTGTTATTGACCAAATACTTATTTTCCACCATAATTTGCAAATAAATTCATTAAAAATCCTACAATGTGATTTTCTGGATTTTTTTTCCTCATTTTGTCTGTCCTAGTTGACTTGTACCTATGATGAAAATTACAGGCCTCTCTCATCTTTTTAAGTGGGAGAACTTGCACAATTAGTGGCTGACTAAATACTTTTTTTCCCCACTGTATATTATATTATTTTTGTTCTTGGATTGACGGGAATCTTCATATGATTTGTTATCATGTGTGATTGATTCAGCCAATCCCATCAATCTGCTGATTACTATCATTAGTATCATTGACATTGTCAACATCTAAGGTGAATTGGTCTATAGCCAGCTAAACCTGTAAAATTAAGGTAATACCTGAGATCAGGATTCAAATCAGCGACCTTGTAGTATGCCAAGCTTTTTACATAATACTTACAAATGTTATTCCTGTTTACGTTTTAATTTAATTCAATTATGACTAATATTATTGAAACTCACCATTCTTGCTCACATTGGTTGAGGGCTGCTTCCTGGTTGTGTGGATGCCTGGGGGTCCTTCCTGTCCTTGGGGGTGCTCATCGTCCTCTTTAGTCTTTAGGTGTCCAGGACTTTGCCTGTTCTCCTTACTGTGGACAGACGGCTCAGTAGTTTTCACTGCATTCATGTTGCGCTCTGCAATGCTGTGTTTCTCTCTGGATGACTACTTTACATTACATCCTGTCAGAGAGGGAGAGAGGACACATCCTTTCAGAGAGAGAGAGAGAGGACACATCCTGTCAGACAGAGAGAGAGGACACATCCTGTCAGAGAGGGAGAGAGGACACATCCTGTCAGAGAGGGAGAGAGGACACATCCTGTCAGAGAGGGAGAGAGGACACATCCTGTCAGAGAGGGAGAGAGGACACATCCTGTCAGAGAGGGAGAGAGGACACATCCTGTCAGAGAGGGAGAGAGGACACATCCTTTCAGAGAGAGAGAGAGGACACATCCTGTCAGACAGAGAGAGAGGACACATCCTGTCAGAGAGGGAGAGGACACATCCTGTCAGAGAGGGAGAGGACACATCCTGTCAGAGAGGGAGAGAGGACACATCCTGTCAGAGAGGGAGAGGACACATCCTGTCAGAGAGAGAGAGAGGACACATCCTGTCAGAGAGGGAGAGAGGACACATCCTGTCAGAGAGGGAGAGGACATCCTGCCAGAGAGAGAGGACACATCCTGTCAGAGAGAGAGGACACACACAGAGAGAGAGAGAGAGAGAGAGAGAGAGAGAGAGAGAGAGAGGACACAGAGAGAGAGAGAGAGAGAGAGAGAGAGAGAGACCAAACACCACTGTAAATACAACCCATATTTATTTATTTTCCCTTCTGTACTTTAACTATTTGCACATCGTTACAACACTGTATATAGACATAATATGACATTTGAAATGTCTTTACTCATCTGGAACTTGTGTGAGTGTAATATTTACTGTTCACTTTTTATTGTTTATTTCACTTTAGTTTATCCATTTCACTTGCTTTGGCAATGTAAACATATGTTTCCCATGCCAATAAAGCCCCTTGAATTGAGAGAGAGAGAGAGAGAGAGAGAGAGAGAGAGAGGTGGGGGGGAGATAGAGAGAGAGAGAGGGGAGAGAGAGAGAGAGAGAGAGAGAGAGAGAGAGAGAGAGAGAGAGAGAGAGAGAGAGAGAGAGAGAGAGAGAGAGAGAGAGAGAGTACCCATCCTTTCATGACTCCATAGGCTGATGTCCTAATATCACAGAGGCCACCATGCAGGATATTGTTACTGCCTCAGCATCTGTCCACTCCAGGTTAAAAACAGCAACTGGTCAATTCAAATCCAACTGACATCACAAAACAAGAAATACACACCACAGACACACAACGAGAAATCTACGCCTTCACATTTTGAATGACGATGTGGTTCTAAACCCTACACAGCGCTACAGTGTTTTGTATTGTCTTTGGTTCAGAATCCATCTGGAGCCTGGAGACAGCACAGCGACCAGCATGCTGCATGCGTCCGTTTGTTTACAGAGCTTAAGCCCACGGACACGTCCTGCTTCTCTCGCCATCCACCCTCCACAGCAGCCAACTTCTTTAATTTACAGAATTTACAAAGAGCAGACCTTCTTCCCCCTCTGTGCAAATAATAAACACTCCATGCTCAGCAGATACAGTAGCATTGAGAGCAACATGTCGAGGTGAAAAACGAGGCCTCTCACTCTCGTCCATAGACAAGCCAAGTCTTCTGTTCTGCTCGGGGCCCCGTACATCATCGTCCACTGAGGGGCCTCACAGGGCACCGCAAACATGCATCAGTGTTTTCTTTAATAAGTTCTGTTTGGAGAACCACTTTGACGCTTAGAGGACAACCATTCCCTCATATGTCACACCTCCTAAAATCAGCTGAGGTATCAGAAAGCTAGGCTACGTTGGCCAGTCTGCCTGGTTACAGGATGTTGGATATGTAAAGGTCAGAGGGTAAAAACGGACAGAATCTGAATAATGAAATGATCGGTTCAAAAGAAAACAATGGTGTGTA